AAGAGACAGTGCAACTGTCCTGTCACTGTTTGTGAACGCCGAATTGCACTGAGATCAGTACATTAATACTTTGTTTTTGTTTTATTGCTGAAAATGCCGAGATTCCAGTGACAGTGTTTATCGGAAGATGTTCTAAGAAGTAAAATAAATGGTCCTAAATATTGGATAAAGTGGTGTACGTTCACCGTTTTTCCTTTCGTGTTTGTCAACTCGGGCTATTATAACAACGATACCCAGCAAATGACGTTTCCAAGGAAAATTTTGCTTCATGCATAATAATTGTTTCCTATGAACTTGAAAGCAAACAGCCAGCTCACACATACAGACATCAAATATTAGAAAAATCAATAGAAGAGCAAAAATAGGCTTATTTTAACGTTCCACTATAGAGACAACAAGCTATTCGATATACCTACATGGAGTGAAATTCTGGTGGGTTGGTATGAATTCATATCTGAACAAGTTAGCGGGGCACAAAAAAAAAAAAAATACCGTCCGGTCTTGTTCCTTTTCTTGACCGGCCTATTAGTGCTACTTGTTTACATATGCATGAGATTATAGGCTGGCAAATCTTGTGTCCCAAAGACTCACACAAGAAGTATATCTGGCGCTTTGGCTTCACTCGAACTCGGGCTCACCAAATGTTTCCCGAGACACTCACGATTTGACACTCAAGAAAATTCGCTTCAACCGGGCTCGCTCCGACTCAAATTCACTAAACAGTTATTTATCCTGGCTCATTAAAACTAACAGTTATGGCTCTATCTGACTCACTTACGAGTCCGTTGGCCTAGAATTGGCTTTCTCAATAATGGTGTCAATACTCTTTAGAACGAGTATCTCACGTCATCGGTGCCATTCTTTGTGCTTTTTGACATGGTACCTTCGAATACGAGTCGTAAGAGCTGGACAACAAGTAAGGTCTGTTTTCTTGAAAGAGATGGTAACATACGATATATTCATCAAGCGCTTTCCTGGAGGAGTCGGCGGGGAGGGGGACGTCAAGACACCCCCCCTCCTACGTTTATACGCCTCTAATTAATGAGTATTTGTATTGGGTATGAATAACCTTTAATTGGTATACGTGATAGTAGACGTAAGTGTATATAAGCATGAATCTGAGTAACGCTGATAATAATGCTTAAGATGAGTTGATAGAACCACTGGTCGGGAAAGAAATGAACTCACCAACACTAATTCAATAAATATGTCTTGTGCTTTGGACTCACTCGGAATCAAACTCACGAAAATTATCCTGAGCTTGACTCATTCTGACTCGCACTCACGAGAGGTTTCCTCAATCGGACTCACTCAGACTCAAACTGAACAAAATAATACTCACCCAGAGTCAGGCTCGGACTCGCAGGTCGTTATAAGTTTGAGTGAAACCGAGTGAGTCGACTCACGATTGAGTATGCCGACCTACGAGTTTGATAGACAATGTTAGGCGCCTGACAAGTCGTTTTGCGCGAAAAGATTTTTCCCACTGCAGTGATCCGATGGCAAAAGCCCCTCACTATTGTTCTTAAAACTAAGATAGAAACCCTGTGTAGCACAACCGAAACGGAAAAGGAATCGTCGAGGCAACCTCGTGAAAATCGCTGAGGAAGGAAAAGTCGTTTCGGAATTAAGGCCATTAACGGGGACGTTTTACTGTCGATACGAGCGCTGCTTCCCCGTCGCCGTCGTTGCGTCTTCTCTTTTTGCTTCTTTTTTTTCTGGAATACGAGTGTAGCTATACTTTTTCACTTTCTGTGCGAGAATCCAGCCGTGACTGCGCATGCACAAAGAGCATGCATTCGTAAGGTGCCGAGTGCTGGGACTGAACGAAGTGGTGGATATTGTCGAAACCGAACACGCCATAAAAGGACTTCGGCGCGTGTTCTGGCAGGGGGTTATAGGAAGGGAGGTTGAGAATGTCTTTCTTTAACGTCTCCTTCGAAAAGTAAAACGCGAGTTTGACGGCCACTCGCAGACGATTTTACTCTAAGAATCGCACGGACACATACTGACGAAAAAAAAAATAAGAGCAATGAAAATGAATGACTTGTTACAACACAGCGTACGAGGCATTTATCATCGAAGAAAAGAGAAGACTGAAGACTACAAGAGCGTATGCCATTAAAAATGGTGATACAAAAAGAGCAAGCCTAGCGTGCTCTCACTGATGTGAGCTGGGTCTGTCCGTGTTGCGTAGAATACGGGAGTGAAATTTCGTGCGCCGGGACTACGGCCGCATCAGTGTGCGCCGTTCGAAGCCTCCCAGTAATTTGCGTTCGCTCACGTTGCGTTACGTAACGTCTTATCAGGTGGCGATACTTCCAGAAAGTTTAGAACTGTTGCGGGCGAATGAAGGTGTACGTAAAAGTATGAAACCTTTTTACATAGGGTGGCTCAATAGCGCTGGTTCTTGCCGTGATTACAGAACTATAACTATAAGATCAAGTTGTGTAAAACCAATATAGGTTGGCAATCCGAAAACGGCATGAAGGAGAAGAGGGAAGCTGGCGATGGAAAATCGTTAAACAGGGGTTGTGTCAAGTCAGCGTTTGGACAAGGAGACTTGTCTTCCTCAAGTACGCTGAGGAAGACAAGTCCTTTCCCTGCGCGGCTGCTCACTGAAAGAAAGGTCGTGGTTTCGATCCCGGCCGTGGTAGTCGCATTTCGCAGGAGGCGAAACGATAGTGGCCCGTGTGGAGAAAATCATTGACACCAGAGTTCAATCGAAACTCAACTATACCTGAACTGCCCACAACCGCTCCTTCGAGCGCTCGGGGCTACGTTCCGCGCTTCACGGCGGCTGCGTCAGGTTTGGACGTGAGATCGCATGCGCGTAAATCCAGTGTGTGCCGCGTTCCACAGCCAATCAGATCAGCTGGAAATGATGACGTCAGCGGGCAGAGCGCGTCGCTTGATATATGGGCGGTTGAAAACGTGTTTGGCCAAGTTGCAGTGATCTGCAGCGATCTGGAGCAATTCGCAGCGATCTGGAGCAATTCGCAGCTTTAAAGCGTTGTACAAAACTTACGCTGAGAGCTCAAACTGGCCTCTGAATTACCCTTGACACTTGGTCTACCGGCCCAATGTGTCTGTGAAAAATGGTCAAAACTGTTTCAGGGTCCCTTTAAAGAACACTAGGTGGTCAAAATCAACGGAGCTCTCAATTATGGGGTCCCTCATTATCACATTGCTACCCATGGCATGCTCCTTTCTGTATTTCAGGTGGCCGGCCCATCACACGTGCGGATAGTGCCTTGCGCAAATCACACCAGAGTATGTTAGTGTATTCTAGAATACCTTGTGGTAATTTCTTAGGCTTGAACGCGCAAGCGAGAACAGCTGATTGATTCGAGAACAAACTGGGGCCACTATAGTGATAATGCTGAAATGATCGACGCCCCATGAGTAAATGTCGACGTGCCTTGACAAGATCAGTCGCTTAGTGGCCGACACTCTGTTTGCCACTATCAGGGCCCGTGTGTATCACTGTAATCTTACTTTGCAGTTTACCGGTCCACAAGTTGGTCCAAATAAACAGTTTCACCATTAAAGTAGGGGGCGGAAACTCCCTATACCTCCCATAAAAATCGCTCTCGCACTGCTGATACGCAGCGGCAGCGCCGCTTTTAACACTGGCGGTTGCCGAGCATCCTACGCGAAATAAATCAGAAACTGAAAGCTTCCAGCATGACGTCACTAGGTGAGGCCACCAATAGAGGGAAAGGGGGGTTGCCGCGGATTTCCCACTTCGCATCCAAGTGGAATGCGCTCGCGCCTTTTTTCAAGTCCTCAGGCCGCTTGCGCAATGTGGCCATTCGTAGAACTTTGTTAATCATTTGAAAATGTTTTGTTGTTGTGTTTTAAAGCGCGAACTTTTAAGCTGACTAATTTCTCAGTAAGACAAAACTCCAACGACACAAATCCCTGAAACTTTTTTATTGCACGTTTTGTATTTACAAAAATTCACGGCACATCCAAGGAGCGAATGATGATGAGTGGGGCGAAGCGTCTAGTTCGTCCGTGTGTCCGTACGCCCGTGCACGCGTCCGATCACGTTCGAGAACGCAGACGGCGCACAAGCCGTGCGCAAGCGTCTTCAACGCACCCGCCGCTCTTTTCGTTCATGCCCCACTAACGATCTGCCACGTACGGTGACGATACAGAGACTGAGAGAGGCACTTGTTCTCCGCGCACTCAGGAAAAGCGCCCACAGCAGCCAATCAGATAGTAGCGGCACAGCGCCATCTAGAATATTCTCACTCAACTGCAGTTTCTAAGTACCTCTATGGAATAGCGCCGTCTATGTACTGTTCGGCAGATGCTGCCTTCTTTTCTTTCTCGTCTCTTCTCTCGGTTACGCGTGACGCGTGACAAGGTTAGCCTAAGAAAAGCGTCGCCCCTAAATAAAGAAACACACACGTAGTGTGAAAGTGTCGATCTATAAAAGCAGGTTTAACACACAACTGACGTATGCGGACATAGTGAGCAAACACTGAACCCAGAATATCCAATCCAATCCAAAAATGTCAACAAGGCAATGTCGTATTTGACTCCATCACGTCTGTTATGACAGTGCGCATAGCTTTCTTACAGAATGTGAGTACCAAACGAGACTGAAGTTCAGAGACGTGAAGAGTCTTCAAGTGATCAAAAGTTTTTGAAAAGAACGTCGCTTGAAACGGTGTTTCAGCAAGTTCTTGAGCTGTTGTCAAACCATTTACAGCCTCTAGTTACGCCATGTAGTGAGAACAATGAATGCGTCAGGTTTCAAGTCTGTCCAGTCATTCCATCCATCACTACGATGAAAGCTGTGTTTCTAATCGTCTAGTTTTATGGGCTGCGCGGGGGGTCCTCTTCAAAAGCAATGTGGTTTGTTTGAGCAAGACTGAGGTCCTAGTTATTGAAATCATGCTTGCAACGTCGTAACGTGCAGTTTCTAGATTTGGCCTAGATGTTTCAAATGACTTTACAAACTATGGTGCTGTTGTTTGTGTTTGCAGGCTTCAACCGCAGCATACCTGGGTACCCTCGGTACGCAATGATCGGGGATCCCGCCCAAGGCATCCACAACTTGAGGATAGAGAACGCAACGCTAGAAGACGACGCTGAATACCAATGCCAGGTAAGTGAGACAACATTCGAGCCTTTAAACCTCTCACGTGGCCCTTGTAAACGGTAACGATGTAGCAAAAACGTCTTAACCTGACTGTCGGAACTTCGTGGATTGTCGAGGTATGAGCGTATTGTGGTGTCGATATCGGGAGCTTTACCTCATTAAAAACTGCTAACTGATGAGTAGTAATCCATTTTAACACCTATATAGGACAAAAGGAAAGACATGAATAAGTGAGGGATGATGAGAGAAGCAAAACAAAAGAAAACAAAAGAAAGTCAGTAAAAAAGCTTTGTCATAACAGTGGTATATTGATCACTCAAACCGCGCACGCTTTTTTCAAATTACTTGAGTTTAAAGCAATGCTGTCCTGATTCTCGACTTATTTTGTGTGTGTGCTGCCCTTTTCTATTTGCAGGTTGGCCCGACTGCTGACCACAAGGCTATCCGAGCGGATGCCCACGTCACTGTTTTGTGTAAGTAATATTACCCACTTAGACCACATATACTGAGCTGGCGTGTGCGTAATGTTCAGTACTTCAAGAGCTGATGACAGCAATGCAAGAGAGGCACTTCAAATCGTGTCTCACGAAGGCAACCCCGAAGTTGAGTTAAAACTACGAAGGCGACGAAAAACCTCGAGCTGGAGTAATTTCTTCGCGTACCTCTTACTCTCCTGCCATCATAACATTAAGACGTGGCGCAATGTCATAAGCAGAGGCAAAATATATTGTGTGGCTCATGTTCAGCAATTGCTTCGGTGACAAAGTGGGCCTAACGACTCCAGGATGCTAGTTTACTAAAAGGTGAGCGTCATATACATGAGGCAAATTGCGCTAAGCTACCCGAGGAAAGCGCACGGAGTGGCGCCGAGCAGCGAATGCCGGCCCACATGCCAAGTCAAGAGGGGCGTATAAGAGCTTCCGCTCTAACCCCATCCGTCCACGCTGTCCGCGCAGAAACGACCTGTCTCCAGCAGGTCGTCTCTTTCGCGCCTTATGCTTCCGTATCCCGCGGCAAAATGTTGGCACTGCCCAACAACACACGCTTACTTCGGCGCATATATAGGCTGGTGGCAGCTCCGCAGCTTTCCTAGATATCAGAAAGAGAAAAAGAAAAAGAGGGAATGCAAGGAGAAGAAAGATTGGGTCTAAGCAACCAAGTGCGAGAGAAGCACCATAAAAAGCGCGAAACGTAGAAGCCTCTCTGGCCGACTCGCGATTTTTCTAGCCCGTGGACGATGGTTGGCCTATGGCCGGTTGCGCCGTCGCGGATCCTGGAATATCCGCGATGCAATCCTCCTCTCCCATCTCCCCCACTTCACCTCGCCCCTCGGGTGCGTTCTTTTTTTCTGCTTTTATCTTCACTTTCTTCGGCGCAAGTGCTGCGATCTGTGGAGCGTTGAAGCGCGCCCAGATGATTCATCATCTTCTGTCAAGGCGCATTACGCCAGTCAACCGGCGATCCACCAAGATTCTTCAACTTTTAAGCCCGTAGAAAGAATTCCTTTCTCGCCTTTGTTCAGCTTCTTCTTGGCCAGTTCTTCCGCATTTTTTTTACTTATTTAGTTTGCTCGGATTTGGGCCGTCAGTGACGAGACTATAGCTCGATCCTAAGCGCTCAACTTGGCGTTCTTGGCTTCCGTGAAAGAGGGAAGCGTAGTTCGAACTTTTTACGCTTTGTTTTTTCTCCCTTCAACAGCGTTGAAGCAGCCGCCCAGGTCAGTTGCGTCACGGCGGACATTAACTCGAAGTTATGTCTTGTTTTCAGTTCCACCGAGCTTATGGGGAATACTTTGATCGGGTTAACCTTTCGGGCCTCAGTTTTGAGCCACCGTAGGTTTTCAAAGCAGGAGAAATGGTTTTGCTCAAAAGTGATAAACTGCTGACGGCCCTCGCGAAGAAAGAATACATGTACCGAATAGTCAAAGTTTTTTTTTTTACATTATCTTTGCCAATTTGCTGTCCGTTTTATTACATCTCGATCGAGTTGCATGTTCGCCATTTTTTGTGAAGCCTTGGGATTTCTGCATCGATGCACCCCCAAAAGGCTCCATTGCAATACCATTACACTCTATTCCATCCTGATGGATATTGAAATACAACAATAAGTTATAAAAGCATTGCAACTGCACAAAAAAAAAGTATTTTTGAAGTTCATATGAAAAGAAGTTATAGATGGTCATCTTGTGCATGATTGAGTTGCCATTCGCCCTCCAATGAGCCAAGCGAACATTTTTGCTTAGTCATGACGGCTACAGCGTTGAACAGCTGCCAACGAAAACGATTTGACTTACAGGCAGCGGCATTCCGTTGATGTGCAGAATGCTAGAACTGCGGCGTACGAACATACACACATGTTAAAAGTCAAGTTCTCATGTAAGACCAATAGAAACCATCCACCATATGTATATTCAGATGTTAAGCTCTCAAGGCTGTAATACATAACGGTCTTCAGCCACTGCATGTCTAATGGCAAATCTTTAGCTATTTCCTGCGACTTTCGCGCATGTGAAGTAGCTGTCGAGAAAATATTGCGCGCTTTTTCTTAGTACATCGTGTGCTCTTCATGCATAGCAACTGCAGACTCCTGAACTGTGTTTGTAGACATACATAATCCTAATACATCAACGTTTCTCATTTCCTTTTTGCTTTTCGATGTCGGCCTCGCCGAAGTGTATAGCCGTCTATAGGCTGAAAGAGTTGAGACGGTAACCTCAAACTCATCACGCTTAGAAGTGTAATCCATAGAGCGTCCGACTCTACTGCAGTTAAAGAACGTTAGCTTGAGTAACCGGTATTTTTTTGCCATTACTGCACACAGCATTCACTCTCATATGGTACCGTTCTTTCACATAACATGCTGGTTTACAAACCAGCCTCATTCGTGCGATCGATCCGCTAACGTTTATTTTTTTTATTAAGCATATATTTTTTAAATAACAGTGAAGTTGTTCATCGGGCCTTGCATGTCCGGCACTCGTGGTGACGTTTGTGGGAAATGTACCCTGGCGTGCGTCACAGACACTGGGTAAATCCAACTGCTCACAAATTTCACAAAGTAAGGAAGGCGGCAACAGTTAACCCATCAAATGGCATGCGTGTTATCATAGTCACACCGCTGTTGCATGATACTTTGTGGCTATACAAGTTGGCGGCTATGCTGCTAGTAGCTAAGAGCTTAACAAAATGTGCTTAATAAAGAGCAGTTATATAACGAATCTACAAGATTCGCGAAACACAGAAATGCACTGCCCTATGAATGGACCACGACCAGCTTCGCCGTGTAATTGGCGTCTGGTTGATTTTTGTAGATTTTTGTATTTTATGATAGTTTTATTATACTGTAGGCCGTGCAAAGACAGGGATTGGAGATACGTGCAAAGACACAGAAATACGTGCAAAGACAGGGATACGTGCAAAAACAGGGATCGATTGATTGATTGATTGATTGATTGATTGATTTGTGGGGTTTAACGTCCCAAAAACCACCATTTAATTATGAGAGACGCCGTAGTGGAGGGCTGCGTAAATTTTGACCACCTGGGGGTTCTTTAACGTGCACCCAAATCTGAGTACACGGGCCTACAACATTTCCGCCTCCATCGGAAATGCAGCCGCCGCAGCCGGGAATCGAACCCGCGACCTGCGGGTCAGCAGCCGAGTACCTTAGCCCCTAGACCACCGCGGCGGGGTGACAGGGATCGATTGTCTATGACCACGTGCCTAAATAGTTGAAAACAAAGATGCGTGCCTGTGATGTGCATTACTAATTGCTTTTATTTCTTGCGTGCGCAGTGCCCCCTTCTTCGGTGACCATCACAAACCACCCGAACGGCAGCAGCGTCGAAGTTCGTCAGTCGGACTCCGTCAAGCTCACCTGCGTCGTTTCCCAGGCGAAGCCCGCAGCGCAGCTCAAGTGGTTCCGGAAGAACGTCGAGCTCCGACCAGGTGCGTGACACGTTTAACGATGTGGCAAACGGAGCACGCCGCGGATTCCTTCGTTGCCGACAGCTCGCAAGAGAGCCGTAACACGCGTGGCAGAGAATGAGCGCCGCAGATAGGAGCTGCCACGTTAAGAAGCTTTCGTGACGGAAAATTTACTGTGCGACCAGTCGATGTAACTGTGGCAGGGATAAGACCACCATTTTCTTTTAATGGCGATATTCTTTCTTGGAATACTTCAACACAGAAGTTTCAGTGTGTCTGTCTTTCTGTCTGTCAATAGATTCAGCCATCCGGCGAAAATTTATTCCCTGCTCAGTGGCCATTCTTGTTCTGGTGGCCGCGTTCATACTTGTGAACATTGACAATTAGAAATACATATACGCATTATTGAGGTGAACATCAATACGTGAGTATTAGGTAGTGTGTTCCTTTATTTAGAAAATGCATAGATACATCACTTCCAAGACCACAATACTGATAATACGCTGCGCGGACAACGCGACGGTACAAACGTAAAAAGGCGAGTGTTTCCTACGCTTCGCTAAAACCAACTAAAACAACACGGTACTGCCACCTGGCAGCTGCTCTGCGATCTAAAATACCTGAATGTCTCATTATCACTTCTAGATTATGCCTATTTCTCACGCAATGTAAGGCCTTTAGAAATAACTTTAACGCAGCGTAGAGTACCTCGATCTAATCCTCATCCGTCTCTCCGTAAGCAGGTGAGCAAGACATCGACGCACTTCAATGGAGACAGGAGACTATCGTCTTTCTACATTCTTTGCAAAGAAACATGCAGATACGCAGTCAATTTTTTCCCGCTTTTTGTTTTCTGTCGTCTTCCGCCAGTGTTTCGACAAAGATTTACTTCTACGCAAGTACACCGCTTGGATTCTTGAGCATTACCGCTTAGTGATGTTTGTTAGAGGTTATTATTTATTGATTTTTATTTTATCCGTGCTCTCAATACAAGAGGTCTTTACAGATAGAGCACAAAGAAGAATCATGGTGTACAGTTAGATATTTTAAAACGAACAATTACTTAGGCGAAATACTCATGATGGATTCGGTGAATGTGTCATGAGCGCTGATCACTTGTATCGTTAGTGATGCCTGTGAGGAAGTCACTTTGCTTGTGACACGTGGTAGTGTGCGCAACTAACATTTCTTTAGTTCTCATTGTCATTGCTATTACTTTTTTTTATCCGAGTGACGTAGTTCCTATGTTAAAACAGCCGGTCCCAAAAAGACATACCTTTACAGTCTGCTTCAGATAAATACATTAAGAATGCTTCCGTTTTTTTATTTACCTGAATGAGACTGACGGCAAGGGTTAAACCCCCCGTCATTTACAGACTTCTCTACAGGGGAGGTCAATGTACGCGCTATATTGCAAACACCATGTCGTGAAATAAAAGTGCGATGCACGTCACCGTTCGTCATCCACTGTCATAGATATAGAAGGCTGAGATATTGCGCGGCTTTGTAAGAGAAATCTATTATCTTATCGAAGCACGATGACGAGTTGGGACAGTTGGTTGATGTTCATTTTGAATTTTTTTGTTAAGCGCACAAAAAAACATGGAAAGATTAAGTAGAAAGGGCAGCGCTGTTCTTTCTACTTCTTGGTTTCCGTGTGTTTAGGTGCGCTAAACGAAAGTTTTCAAAATGAATATCTTATCAAAGGCTGGTGGTTTTCGGTATGCCGAAAAAAAAAAACGAAATTGAAGTTGCTTGATTTTGTCGGCGTCATCTTTGTGTCATATCCTTTCCCACAGACAATGTGCAGTACAGCGTGGAAGAGAGCGAAGGCGGCCGCCAGAATGCCATCAGCAGCCTGACGCTGACTCCTCATCCGGAGGACAACGGTGTGGTCTACTCGTGCGAGGCCGTCCATCCCGCGCTGGGCACACCGCTCTCCACGTCCGTCAAACTGGACGTGCTATGTGAGTGATTTGTTGCGTTCTCACTCATGGAGGTGGTGATCGTCTTTTCAAGACACGCTCATTGTTTTAAAGACACTCCTATTGTGTCTTGGCACAAACAATCGTCTAATACATCACCATTTCGATCTATAATGACCTTACCGCAGGCATACTTTCAGTCATATTCGTAAGTGCGGGCTATCTAGACAATTGCCTCACTACGTGGCATGTATACGCTCACGAAAAGCACACTGACATCGCAGAAGGGCGGATGTTAACGCGAAAACCTTTAATGTCTCATACTCTCATCCGTCCGTACGTCCGTGCCCTGGAGCGGGGCCAGCTGTGGTCTCTCCCCCTTACACTCTTTCATCGATCACGTGATTGCTCAGAGAGTGCAAAAAAATAAAACAATAAAACAAGAACATACAAGAAAAAAATAAGCAAGACATGGCACAGTCAGCCAGATGAGCACACGCTTCGCTGAACACTTTGGAGTTTACAAAGTGTTCTTCAATTTCTTTTACTGTATTTTTTTTGCGTGCGGGTACGCAACAACGTTCGGGGATGCAAGCGGTTCTTTCATGTTTCATACATTGAGAGACCTCACGTCAAGTTCGCGGTGGGATGATATCGTTATCAGGAGGCACACAATGAACAAGGCGTAAGAAGGGAATGCCCCGCAGAAAAGCTTCGTCGCTCGCATCACCCTCAACACTATTACTGCTGACATGCCGCAAAGAATACACGAGCTTTCATGAATCTCCCTTTTAAGTATAACAAATTCTTAGTTCAAGATGGGTTCTAGTCCCTGTGGATTGACGCCGTATAGTGGTGGCAGGCACGTCAGCATCGGTCCACCCACGACGACGACGTCAAGGCCTCAAGTGTCGATGCTCTCCAGTATCCAAAGGTGTAAACATCCGCGCGAAACGCCCACGTCGTAACGAAGTTCCGGAAGTTTTCAACGTGTTCGGAGGAGCCGCGATTCATCCGCCCGCGGCACGTGTGCACCTGCGCCTTAGAAGCCGAGCTTTCCTGCGTGCGGCGCTGTCGGGGCCCACCGAAGGCCCCGGGCGGCGCCACGGCACGTCACACGAAACGAGGTGTGAACCAGATGAGACGACGACAGGGGCGCCTTCGTAATCGCCAACTAAGCCTGGCCTGCAAAGTGCGCTCATCGGCGGCGGGCCACGTGCCATTCGCGACGGGGAAAGTGGCACAGATCCCCCCCCCCGCTTTAATCGCATAAATTACGCCTCTAGGTAAATTGGAGGAGGCGCACTCCACTTTAGCTCCCCATCTCGCCCCCTCTTTTCGGGTGGCGGTCGGGTTTGGGCCGGGAAATTTAATTTGCAAATGCGTCCAGGCTCCCCCTACGCCATCGCCGGTGGTGGATTCAAGCAGCCGTCCATACGGCGCCTGCTCTGTACGCGTGTTGCTTCAGCTGGCAGCCCGCCTGTGGAACTGTGTTTACCTGCGTCATTTTCGGCGCCGCGGAGACGTGTGCACAGTCGCGCAAAGCCTCCGTTTCACATAATGCTGTGAGTAAATCAGCCTTTATAGTTCACAGGCTAGGGAGGAGGAGGGGGGAAGGGTGCACTTTATCGTGTCTTGGTGGATTTCAGCTTACATACATGCAATACGGGACTACCTGAACTACTTGATAGGCGATGACCAGGGGGAACCTAAAGATAGCGGAATCCAACTCCAGCATTTCCCTTTCCTATATAATTCGATAACAGCAGTAATTGAACTAGGAACTCATTGTTTCTTTTATTGTACAATACTTTTTCATGTGAATATACGTAGGAAGGACGTTAATACAGGAATAATCAGCCCTCAAATTTGTCAAAGCTAGAAGATCACTTATGAACAATAAAGGAATGCTTGCTTTAGAGAAATTGCTTTTGCCTGAAAGATATCTCCAGCAAAAGCCTAACATTGATTGGGACTACAGAGTGTGATCCATAAATGAAAACGTCATCTTGACATAGCTTCCTGCCTGGCGTCTTGCAACGCGGGAATGCGCTGCTAATGAAGCCGCACTCAACGGAGAGTGATTGAGCGACGGAATATTGAGATAATCACAAATAAAAATATCGGCACTAATAGCACGTAAGGGTTGAGACGGGGATGGTAAAGTGCGCAAACGATATTTCTTTCGTAATAGGCACAATTTACGTGCTCCACACCGCATTTGGGGTCCGTGGAGACCCACAGGAGTTCTGCGTTTATATAGGTTTTTACGTCGAGTTGCATGGTGGGGCTCTTATTGCTCAATGCTCGTAGCTTAGCTAACCCCTGGGATAGTAATGCATTTATATTAGTGCTAGCGACGAGGGACTCAGCATTTTCGCAAGTGCCGCGTTTTTTTTTTTTAACCCCTAGCAGCGGCTGCATACGGATACCGATATAATCGCTTTTTGCCGTTCCGAGTAATTAGTTCAAGAAACGAGGTGCTTCTATTCCTGTTTTTCTTCTTTTTCTGCCTCTTTCCTCATCAGCAGGGTCGAAAACATGGTGCGAGCTTCATCTCCAAAGGAAATAAAACAGATCTAGTGTGTATGTAGGCGTATATGTGCGAAACTAGCAGTGTAAGCATTTCAGAATTTTTCTTGGGAGAGGCGTTCTCACCGGAAAGTACGTGATAGGCAGACGTCATACGCAGTGACGGACGGTGATGTATTGGCGCATCCTTCATCAAGGTGTATGAACTAAGGGGACATGCAGTGCCGAGAGCCGGTGTCGTGGACATATAGTTGGTGTCGTGGACATATAGTTGTTTCAGATGCTCGCCATTGACACTGCAGCACTTATCGAAAAAAAGGGGTCCTTAAAAAACACTTCATTAGGAAATTACAATGACATAGCATAAAGTTTCGGAATACTAATACAGCATTGTTGTGGACTTGACATCGGCCGATTCCACTTGTAAGTATATGTTGAGTATAATTGAGGTTTAAGAATTTTGATTTCGGGGATTTTGCGAGTGCGTTCTTCCTGTACTCGCGCCGTGCGCACTCTCGATATTCTCTTTTACCGTAAAGCAACAATCAGACGCTGAACGTTAGTTAAATTTTGCCACTTGATCTCATGGTGTTAGTTTTAAACGCCTATCGTGAAAAGATGCACACATAAAAAAGGAAAAAAAGTGAGGTCAACCTGGTGCGGGTTTCCTGTTTGCTAACCTGAATAGAGGTAAAAAAAATAGTGTCAGAGAGAGGAAAGGAGAGTACGTAAAAAACAAAGAAAGCGCTGTAAGCATTCTTTTAGCCAAACTAGTAAAAGAAGAATAACATAAAAACGCTGAATCATTCTATGGAGAAACTGTTGCTTGTGCCCAACAAAAGTAAGTATTGAGGCCGAGTGTTATGGTTGGCCGCTGTTAGTAAGTCTTGGAGATACGAGCTTGATACCACATGAGGCACGCGGGCAATCCTTCCTCCCCGACAAAGCTGGAAGAAGGCTAGAACACGACAGAAAAAAAAAAAAAACAGCATCGCACTGACCTGCACCGAGCGTTTATTGCGTATATTTCGACGCAGCGCTGACCTACCTATATGTTTATTACAGGCCGACGCAGTGCCACTCGTTTAGATACCTCGTTCTTGTAGCTGTTCATGTGGTATGTACTCTAACGTGTATTAGATATAGCTCGCATGAAGTGGTTTTCTCGTTAGACTACATGTACTGTATGTGCGACCTCATCTTCGTTACTGAACCAGCTGGGCGGGTGAAGAGCCCAGTTCACGAAATCAAATATGTACACGTGGGCGTAACACTCTTACGCCCATGCTAACAATTTTCCAATGTTTTAAGCTCTCATAGTATTGTTAATTAACTTTTAGATCTGGTTTTATGTATGAGGTCGTTGCACCACCACGCTGATTCAGTGGTTGCCACTTTCTGCTTCTTCACAAAACATGACAGGTTGATTCCCAGGCGTGGTAGACACATTTATAATTTCAGTCAGATGCAAAAACGATCGTGTCACAACCGAGACATTTCAGAAGCTCGAGTAATCAGAATGGTTCAGGAGCACTGACCTATTGGTGTACACGGCTACTGTTGCTCTCTTAGAACTTCTTGTTGGGCGAGGTGGTGCACATCTTACTGCATGATATGTGCGCGAATACCGCACGGAACACCGAATAAGCGAAGTAGACAGAAAGGGTGCAGAAATAGTCCTCTTTATACGTCGTTTTTTTTTTCTGTGTTCGTCCAACCTTTAACCACATATCCTAAACAGTGTTCTCTGTATATTATTGGCTTCAATTCCAATGTGAGAGAAGCGCACTGCATGCTAGTCGTGTCTCTCGGGGCTTTAAATGAAGTTTCACCATCCACTGCACTTGTACTCGCTGATTCTTACCGTTGCCGCCTGGCGTAAGTCTAAGACGTCATTACGCTGCTAAGAAATGAGTGTTTAAATTTCGTTGCAAGAGAGGACTGGTGACTCCCGCCTCTTTTTTTTTTTTGTTGTTAAGCGAAAACATTGTGTTCGTCATTCACTATAGAATGTCCTCACCGTTTCTTCGCCACTCGGTCAAAGGATCTTAGTGACCCCATACGGCAGTCGCCCCATATTTATGATACAGTGAACTGGTGACAAATGCTCGCAAACATGGCGTCAAACTGAATCTTCTACCAAATATCACTCAGGTGCAAGACGAACGAACCAGTTACATACCAGAAAGAAATCTCTACACCGTAAGCATCTCCCCCCCCCCCTCGCCCCCCGGAATTCAGTTGATGTGTATTTTGTGCATTTTCCACTGCTCTCTTCAGCACTTTATTTAGGCATGCATTAAGTGGTTTCTGAGGCATGTTACACATGCATTAGGTTTTCCTTGTGGCGTAATTTTTTCTAATACAGCCTCTAACTCATTTTTTTCTCATTTTCTTGCTTACCTCTGCCCCTGCCTTTCAACTACTCTCTTATTCTCAGTCGCTATATGTATCTTTATTGCAGGGTCGGTTGTTCTTGCGCCCTTAATGATGGCACATACCAGGTAGCATTCCCTATGAGATAGGTTGTTTTTTAGCGTGCATAAACATTTGTAATAACATCTATTAGCCAACATAAAATTGAAGATTTATTATTACATTTTTACGGATATGATGTACAAGACGCCACACAAATAAGGCGCCTGATGTCTCCCGGCTCTGGATAAGGTTGAGAATGCAACCTAAGCAATAATAACATGGAAACGTCAGCACATGAAAAAGTAAGCATTGAGTGATTGTAGCTTTATAATTGAGTAATTCTAGTCTTATAGCGTCCCGCCTTTCAATGTGAAGAGAAACACGTTATCTTCTTTGTGCTCGCCCACAGTCGCCCCTGGTCCTCCCGAGATCCACGGCTACACCGAGGGCGAGACGATCCGCATGGGAGACACGGCCACGCTCCGGTGCATCTCGCGCGGCGGCAACCCGCTGGCGCAGCTCGTCTGGTACCGGAACCAGGAGCGCCGCGTGGTGGACAGCTCGTACACGACGAGCGGTCGCGAGTCGGTCAACACGCTCACCTTCGTGGCCAACTCGTCGGACAACAACGCGGTGTACCAGTGCGCCGCCACCAACGTCGTGGCGCCCGAACCCATGACGGCGTCCGTCCGGCTCACCGTGCAGTGTGAGTGGCGCTGCTAGCGCTTATCCGCATCAAAGCACTGGGGTTTAGGGACCGGGAGGGCAAAATAGACTTTAAGCAAGTAGACTTAACTAGAAGGAGGTTATCTGATTGGTGGCTAAAGACAAGGCACGATTGAAAATTAAACTCTTCACTGCAAATTACGAATCCTCAAACTCACTTAAGGAAGAAAAAATAAATATAGTCTTGGGTTCATTAAGTATTACGGCTTGGTGGCGCTAGCCACCGCCCGATCTAAAGGGTACAGCCATATCCATCCATCCATCGCATCTCCCCGCTTAGTCCACGAACGAAAGAAGCGTGAATTTAAGGGTCCGTTTGCTTTGTTAGACGCGATCATAATGAGAAATAACAGACGACGATGCCAAGAAAAGCTCAGGGGAAGTTATTAGAAGTAATTGGTATGTAAATGTGAATAAAGAAAAAGTGGGCGAGAAGATAACTTGCCGCGGGAAGGGACCTAACCTGCTACCTTCGAATGACGCGTCCGATGCTCTATCACCAAGCTAGGGGAGCGTTCATTCCCCGGTCCTCTTCATAGTGTATATGTGTGCATTTAAACTTTTACAACTTTTTTCAAGTATTAAACTTCTGAACGTTTGGACTATTTCAATTTTTCATTGCCGTTACCATTGATTACTTAACACTTTGATTGGGTAAATTATGGCCGAATAGAGATTTAGCTGAATCATACCGTTGTAACTGCAGTCGCGCCTTCAAAAGTGAAAGTGCGGGGCCCCAAGGAAGCCAAGGCCGGGGACCAGGTGACCATGCGCTGTTCCACGGAGCGCAGCAACCCGCCGGCCGAGGTCTCGTGGGTGGTGGACGGCCGTCCCTTCGAGTCCGTCTCAACCATCACGGCCGACCCCAAGGGGGGATGGGTCACCACGTCTAACATCACCGTCAACATCACGGGACAGGTGAGGGCGGTTTTCTCGCGTCTTGTCGAGAGCTATTGCTTTAAGGAAATTTTACTAGAGCAGGAGAATGTCAAGATTGCTGACAAAGGTTTAACCCGAGTCACCATCGTCATCAGTCTGAAGCCTGTCTGTGCCCACTGCAGGACAAAGGCCTCTCATATGTTCCGCTAGTCAGCCCGCTTCTGTGCTTTCTGCTGCCACTTTGTACCTGCAAACTTCTGAATCTCATTGGCCCAACTAACTTTCTGTCTCCCTCTTGCGTCTTTGCCTTTCTGGGAATTGTCTCCCTAGTCTTTTTTTTTTTTTTTTTTTTTTTTATTGGCGCTAGTATGCCCTACGGCATCAGTTAAATAAAAAGGAAAAGTTTTGTTTCCTGTATGAAGGCCAGGAGTTGTCGATGCAGTGGACCGTGCGTCCAGCGCGTCAAGTCAGGTGGTCGGCCGGGGTGGTGGTGAAGGCCGCGTAGGTGGCGAGTGCGAGCCTGGTGAAGGCCCGGGCAGGTTCCCAATAGGTGATCAAGCGTTGCCTCTGTGGCTGGGGCAACGCAGAATGGGCACGTCGTTGGGGGAGGCTGTGCACCAGATGTCCATGTAGCCCGGATTGCAGGAGTCAAGGCGGCGCCCACACGAATCCTCCTGAGCGCAACCTCCTCTCGGCGAGTTAAGCCGCCGGGAAGGTCAGATCCACGCGGAGGAATGAGAGCACGCGTGGAGCGCCGGAGGGTTTCTTTGTGCACAAGCAAGCTGTCCTTCGGGGACAAACGAAGTAGAGGCAGCGGGTGTTGAACAGTCGCTGGATGGCAAGCGGCATCTGCTTCCACTTGAGCCGGTGCAGACCGGCGGGTCCACAGAACGCGGACAGGACAGGCACATGAGTGGATCAGTCGGTGTATATCGGAGGCTATATCGATGGAGCTGGTCACTTTTCGCAGCTCTCGAACTGCCTGCGTGGAGTCCGTATATACAAGCAATTTATCGTGTGACAAAGAATCCATTTTGGATATCATAACTGTTAACCCGTCCCGTATAGCAGTGAGCTCCGCTAATACGGATGGGAACGGTGCCTCTGTTACGTAAGAGCAGATATGTTGGATTTCAGGTTGCGCGGGGCATACGAGACTGGTGTGCAGAACGCAATTATCGGTAGCTGCGTCTACGTATACCGCTAGTGAGTTCTCGGTGGTAGTGACGATGCCCTCCTGCGCCGCTTGTCGGGTGGATTGTCGCAGGCGGGTCAGTGGTCGGTTGTCACTGGCCTGTGCCTTGAGCCATGGTGGAACTTCTGCCACGGGTGCGTCAGGCTGTGGCAGCGTTGAACCATAGTAGTGAGCTAGAGCTGCCGCCGCAGGAACAGCTTGACTCTTTAGGTAGCGAGCGACTCGACGCTGGTGTACAATTTCGTCGATGGTGTTGAGCTGCGCTTCCGCCTGGAGGGTCGTGATAGGTGTCATACGGGGAAGGCATGTAATCGCCCTCATGGAATCTCGGTTGGCGGTTTCGAGCAAGTCCCAGTCTCTCAAAGTCAGTCGTTGAAACTGAGCTTGATAAACGAGCCGAGGTTGTAGGATTGATCGCACCAAGATACGGGCCATTCGAGAACAGGCACCCCCCGTCTTTTGAGAGATGCGACGAATGAGATGGAGGGTATTAGCACTCTTCCGGCGAGCAGAGCGAACCCACGCATTCGCAGAGCCAGATGCGTCCAATTCGACCCCGAGCACACGTATAGTGGATACAGGGGTGAGGGTATGGCCATTTAGGCTCAAACATATCGGCGTCTGCAGGAGGCGACGGCGACCTCGTCTGTTGGTGATAGACATGAATGCAGTCTTCGTGGCAGATAGTGTCAGTCCTATGCGCGCACACCAGTCCGACGCCTTGTCGAGAGCACTCTGGAGTGCCTCCTGCTGGCGTTGAAGGTCTGGATGTAGTGTCCACACAGTCAAATCATCGGCATACAGGAGGAAGAAGGCATCTGGAATGCGTGCTAGTTGCCACGCGAGGGGCAACAGGGCAATATTGAAGAGTATCGGGGCTAGAACCGAGCCCTGCGGTACACCCCGCTTCATTACAAAGTGTCCGGTTCGTTCCTTGCCTACTCTGATGCAGAAGGTACGGTGTGCCAGAAAAGACTCCACAAAGTCGCAGACGCGAGGCGGAAGTTGAAGCCATTGCATTATGTGATTGATCGCAGAGTGGCTGACGTTGTCGTAGGCCTTATGAACGTCCATGGCGAGAAGGGTTCGAATGCTGCTTGATCTTCTTCCCACAAGCACCATGGACGTCAAATGATCTAGGCCATCTTCCGTGCCCAGGTGCGGTCGAAAGCCAATCTGGGCCGGATGGTACCAGGCGTGCTTTTCCAGCCACCAGGAGATGCGCGACGCCAACATGCGTTCAAGAAGCTTGCACAACGTACACGTTAGAGCAATCGGCCGAAGATTAGAGAGGCTGTTCGGGTGCTTTCCCGGCTTAGGTATCGGCACAACTTCGGCATGCTTCCACGATTCAGGCAGCCCTCCGGTCGTCCAGACTGCGTTAAGCGTGTCCAGCAGCCACTGCAGTGCAGGGCCATCCATGTTCTTGAACACTTCATAGGAGATCCCATCTGGTCCTGGTGCCTTGCGTACTTTTGCCTGGTCAATTGCTGCCTGGAGCTCCGCCATCGTGTATGGCGCTTGCATGCCTTCGATGTCCGACGGACTGGGAGTCACGCCAACCTCCGGAGGCAGGTTACACGGACAGTCGAATTGTGGTGGGGCCAGGTTGTAGGCCGGGAAGAAAGCCTTAACTATTTCTGGAGCGAACTGGCTTGGCGTGCATCCAGAAGACAGACACGCACTGGCCGCTGGGTCCGGCGTACGGGTGCCTAGTTCCATACTCCGGAACGTTCGCCATATTGAGGCGGTTGAAGACGATGGACCGAGTGACGCACACCAGTCCATCCACCGTTCGCGGGCGAGACGCTTCTCGCAGCGACGCGCCGCAGCGGTGAGTCTGTTGAGGTTATCACGAAGCTCAGCGGCTGCCGGATCTCGGTTTAAGGCCAGCTCTGCACGACGGCGTGCTGCCCACAGACGCAGAAGATGTAAATTTGGATGTGGTCGGTTCTCCTCTACCCAGCTTGACTGCGTGGCGGCTTGTACAGCTCTGGTTAACACCTGCAATGGATCAGACGATGTATCAGCAATCGAGTCGTTCAGTTCATTGCGGAATAAGTCCCAGTTGGTTGTGTAGCATCGACGTCGGAGGCGGCGCTGGTTATACGCGGCCAAACCAATTTTCAACGGATGGTGATCACTCCCCCAGCAGTCTGGTTCTAGGTCCCACGAAACGTCACACATGCCCAACCACCACGAGAGATCGGGCGCATAAGGTGGAGCACAGGGATGATCCCACCGACGTGTAGAAGTAGCCGGGGCATTCAGAAGGACAAAGTGCGCGTCTGTAATGTGTCTAGCACGATGTTGCCTCTAGCACTGGAAGAAGGGTAGCCCCACGACTGATGAGGTGCATTGAAGTCTCCCCCAACTAGTACTGGGCACCCAGGATAGGTTTGACGCAGGTGAGCCAGCCACCCCAAACGCAGTCGGGGAGCGCTGCCACTATACGGACGCACGTAAACTGAAACCACAATCACGTCAGTACGCGGAAGTCTAACGAGCACTGCCACCACTTCTTGCCACTGGTTACACCACTGCAGCAGGGGAACCTGCGTTTGAGGATATGTAGTCACAACATACACTGCAGCCTTGCCTGGAGGTCCCAACGCATTGGTGCAGCGTCGATCAGGGATGGTTGGGGAATCATACGCAGTGAATCCAGGGATGCGTGGAAGCGAATTCGTTTCTTGTAGAAGCAGGCACCAAGCGGGGAGCTTCCCCAGCGCCAGGCGATAGCGAAGCTCACCAACTTTATTTGCAAGTCCCCGGCAGTTCCACTGCAGGACACAGTGGTGGCGCGTTGCTTTCAAAGGAGTGGTCATTGCGGTGGAAGGTTGGCGAGCACCACCTTTGAAAGCTCTTGCAGTTGCCGGGCAACGAAGTGGAGGAGCTCTGCCGGAGTCATCTTGACTGGTGCTGACGCGCTTGCGCAGGATAATTCAGGCACAGAAGCAGCGTACGGCACGTCTGTACCGCGCATCGCAGTTGGTCCAGCGGGTCGAGCGAGATGGGTTCTGCGTTGAGCGAGGCGCTTGACTTCCATTTGGAGCTGCTGTATCTGTTGGTCAAGCTTCGCCAGATCGTCTGTACCCGTAACGCTCAATTTAGGCGTATTCGCAGGCTGCTGAACACGTTTTTTGCCCCGCTTGACGGCGTCGCTGTACGTGGGGACTTCATAGCAAGCATTTTCAGGTTCTACCAACGCTGGTGTGTCCTCTTCGGAGGGGGACAACAGTTCAAACCGGTTGCTAGTCGGAATGTCGGCGTCCCTTTCTTCTTGTGTCACCGAACGCTGGCGGCGCTTGCGTTGGCGACGGGCTTTGAGAGCCTTCTGTTTAACTGGACAATCTTTGGACGTTATTTCATGATCGTCCGTTTGGCAGAGCCCACATTTGTACGTGCGCGTCTCGACGGACTCCATGGAGGTGTCTGCGGGTTGGGGACAAGAATCTCGCATGTGACCGGTACGAAAACACGATAGCAGTGTAACACACCGTGGGCTTGTACACATGAAATTTCAGGATGCATCCATAGTACGTAATGCGGCTTGGTGGCGTTCGAGGCCCTTGGAGAGTGACAAGGCACGTGCGTCCACGGCCCATATAACGAGCTGTTACAATCTTGTGTGGTGGAGCAGGTCAAAGCAGTGATAAGGCCCTCCGGCGATTCCCCTGGGTCAACCCCAGAGACCACATACCGACGCAAGTCCGAGCCGGAACTCAAGTACGCTTGCACCTGTACAGTACAATCAGCTGTGACTGGCAGAGTTTGCAGGTGGGTGAGGCGGTCAACGTCTGCTAGCGAACGCACCCATACGGATACGCTGTTGGTGGGATGG